GCTAAAGTCGGCTGTAAAGCTCGAATCGAGTCACCGTTCTCAAAGTGCTGATCCCACCGGTCTAGAAAACACTCACCTTTTCCGGTTAATACTGAGTTTTGAATAATGATTTCAGCATACTTCTATGAAAATACTTATACGGCCTCTTTCAACCCTAAACGGGGCATGACAAAAAGTGGGAAACAAAACACTTTTTTTCGGTTTAAACACTAAACGCGAGGCCTACATATATATGAGTGCATGTGCTTTATTTCCCTGCGAGTTTGCATTATAACAAATTAATTTCATGTATGCTAACTAAATTCCGAGTGATTCTTTTCCATAGTTTTAATGCATACGGCTCGTATATCACAAACGGAGAATTAAGATAATTGTTGGTGATCATGCGTGGAGTTATTAAAATTAAAAATAAAAGAGACTCCAAGGACGAAATGTACATATCACATCGTAAACGGCATGCTCCTCGCATTTTAAAGTAGTGTCCTAACCCCGGAAATAAGTTCGAACAACGCTTCATAGACTGACACTGCCACGCTTTATCGGCCTACCGTTTCGTCGACGCGAGATTCATCGACAGCTTCTTTTTCGCGACCTAGCCTGAAATCGCCTATTTTGTAGGATATGCCAAGATGCGGAGCCACCTCGACTTTGGGCTGCTTATTCAGCGAGGCGGTGGCGCATTCCCCCGACTATTTAACCTTTGAGCGAAGTAAAGCAAAGCAATGACCGCGCGGTCTGTTTGGAAGCCGAACTTTATTGCCGCCGCGACCGTCCGATGCGCACTGCAACACTCGTAAGGACCGGGGATGTGATGTCGATAAAACATAAAGTGTCGACGGCAAGTCTACCGACTTTTCGTTGGTAATGAAAGGCGTGATGAAGCATATGCGAAACGATGGACCCTACCTTAAGTACGGGTTTCCACGGTGCGCATGATTGATTGCAGACGAATGCACAGTTGCCGGTGAATAGGGGGCTCAGTGTGTAAAGAGAAATCGCGTGATATATTAGTTCTGTCAGCGCCTCGCGAGCCCTCGACTCATCAGATGCTGGCAAATATGTCGCGACCCATATATCAAATGTTATTAAACGCCTCTGACGGCGCCGTCAGAATACCGCGAGTAACAATTAATCAAGCACTTTTTATAAACATTGTGTGCAAAGAAAGCCCCGACGGCCGGGCAATAAGACGCTTTCGATGAACCCGAAGTAAAACATAAAACTTCTGACGGACCATCGGACCACCTCTGATGGTTCATCAAGAATGTCCAACAGACCATTAGGCGCCGTCAGGAACTTCTGACAGACCATCTAAACGCATCTGACGTTCCATCAGATTTTTTGATAGTCCATTAGACTTTCTTGATGGTCCCTCAGGAAGCCTGATGGGCCATCAAAGAAGTCTGACGGTCCATCAGGAAAGTCGGATGGTCCGTCAGGAATGGGATGATGGCCTATCAGACTTTCTTGATGGTCCATCAGGAAGCCTGATGGGCCATGAAGGAAGTCTAATGGTCCATCAGGAAAGTCCGATGGTCCGTCAGGAATAGGCTGATGGTCCATCAGACTTTCTCGATGGACCATTAGGAAGCCTGATGGACCATCAGAAAAGTCTGATGGACCATCAAGAAACTGTGATGGTCCATCAGGAAAACCTGATGGTCTTTTCAATCGGGTAGTTTTCTGCCGGCAATAACTTATTGACCTTACTCCGTAATATACAGCTATTAATGTTTGCCAAGCGCACGAATAATTTCTAACTGCCGAATGTCGAACTTCGGCAAATATGTAAATATTTTTTGCCGAAGTAATTTCCTAGATTAAAATTCTAAGTATGTTTTATTTAGACATGAGAAGAACAGCACACAAGGACGAAAACACAAAAAAAGAACATTGAAAAAAACACGCTCAAGCGCCTTGTGTGTCGTATCTAAATTATTTACTCGAAGTATACCCTCAATTTTCTCTGGAAATTAACAAACAGCACACACACAAAATAAACATAAAGATCAAGAGCCCCATTTCAAGTGCACGAATGGGAACAAGAAAATCAAAATTAAATATCGGACCACGCGTACCTGAAGTAAACAGTGTTAAAGGCCACTGTACAGACCGGCCATTCTGCAGGGAAGATAAACCCCCTAGCTTCCTCCTCTCCTGCGAGGGTAGCTGAGGGTGGAAAGAAGGGACTAAGTGGGAAGAAACTGTCCCCGCATCGCGGGAGGAAACAAAGCTGCCGCGGTGTGTAGTTCGGGGAGAAGGGATGTTGATGCGTGAAGAATGGGCCTGTCAAAACGTGACCTCGGACGCCGGATGATGGTAGGTTTGAGCATTCTGCAAAATTACCTGCCACTTGAGGCGGCACACAGAGACCGGACACAGCGACACATTCTTGGAGCAAAAAAGTTGAGCGAGATGTGAGTATAGAAATTTGGTTTTCTCGTGCGATCTTTGGTGTTCTTAGTATAATTAGAAACATGCGTCCAACTTTTACCCCAAAAATAAAGCAGTTGACATGTGAATATATTTTCGCTGTTTACTGTCAAAAAGACGGGAGATGTTTTGAGTCTATTTTTTCTAGACATGTTGTAGCCTTCCAAAATGCTTGAAGAATAAAATTTAAAATAAATCTAGAATCCTCGGAATACACCGGTAGTACTTTTACTTTCGGAGAAGTTACAATTGTTCCAAGATTGGTGGGTAAAATGATTTTTTTTTCGTGCTTACGCTTTAGAAAGATGATAACTTTCGCTTCAGCCTGTAATAAAATATAAAGCATCGGTGACGTTCTGCTTTAAAAATAAAAAAAAATTGACCACCATTTTTTTTTTCTGCTTGCAGATTGGCGCTGTTGCCATTCCCGAAACAATGGAGTGCATGGAATGCTTTTGTTGCCCTTGCACCGTACTGCAAAGCCACGTGAGGACTGGCCAGGGTCAAGAGCCGTCGCAAAAAATCCCGGTCTGTGGAAGATGTCCTACAGGCTCTACTGGGGGTGCCTTGCTAATCTAGGAGTGTGGCGTGACCCGAGATACTTGGCAAGGAAGCGAGAAGGCGGCCATGGAGTCTTCATGAAACGAGAAATGGTGCGGGCATGCGTTGTGAACCATGTCCGAGCCCTGTACCCGAATACTCTTGGTGTCTCCTACGTAGGGCACAACTGGGATTAAACGTCAGTATTGAGCTATCAAACAACGCTTCTATTGTTTATAGTTGTCTTACAGATCCGAAACCTGCAAACTATGAGAAACCTACGTGTAGTTGTGGCAGAGAAGAAACCATGGCACGCGCCATACGCATGAACACTTACCACGGCAGCTAATGAAAGCATGCGCCATACACTGGTTTACCTGAATAAACGCCATGACATTGATACCTCTGATTAGCGGTGCTTAGGCATTTCAACAAAAGGTATATTTACTTCAGCACATAGCATGCACGTGACGTCACGGTAGGAAAGAACGGGGCCCCCCGTTCAACGATGGTGGACTTAGCATGTGCCCTTACCAACACGTAGGAAGAACAGCCCGGAATGCGTTGCCGTTCAAGCTATTTTCAAGACAAGTACATAGTTTTCGACGTGGGAGTTTGAAAAGAGGTATCGAGCTTACGACGATGACGTTCAACCAGTACGTGCGAACCTTTTCAGCGTCGGTGGGATCGCGCTACGCAAAAGCTGCCGTGTCGGCAAAAAAAAAAAAAAGAAAAAAAAAAAGCTTCTTTACACGGTTGAAGGAGTATAAACAAGTGGAATCACACATTTAGTGGACGAGCAGTTCTAGGAGCCGCTACAGAAAGTTCTTTCAGGTAGCGAAGTTGTTCCGATTTCGCGAAGTACTGATAAAGATCGCATGGATTACCATGTCGCGTGAGGCACAAGCCTGTGCTTCATACGCACGAACGCTTGAATGCATGCCCAATCGATGGAGAGCACGTACTCCCACCATAAATTTCAAGTGGACCGCACGGCAAATTATAGATGACAATACTTTACCTTTTCTCACCAAAATCCTGAGTCACTGAAAAAAGAAAAAAAAAAATCTTCTCGGGACTGTAAGGAAAGGGAGCATACGAAAATATTATGAACGGGCCTATGGCGATGTTGTGTCAGTATAAACTTCTTGTTTGTTTCGTAAAACGAAACGGCGCTCACGACTATGAGGTAAGGAAAGTAAGAAAGACACTTTGGGCTCTCAACAATTTTTATTTACATTTTATTTCCCCGTGCCGGGTAATTATGTCGAGCAGGATCCTTGTAGCTGCAAAAACAATAAAGTCAGCATATGAAATATTAGATAGTATGTATGTAGCATGCCAGAAGTAGGGTGCCTTCATGTGCGCTTTGCTTAGGGTGATGACATCTGATCATTTGCTCTTAACGCTTCTGCTGTTTTTGTTTGTTTTATCCGGAGCGCGAGAAAGCGTTTCTCCCGGCACGACCTCTTCCCATCGACAGTGCCACGACAGCATGTTGTACCCGGCTATTTCTTTGTATGTTTTTCCGAGAGCGCGTGTTGTCGGTATAAGTGCTAAAAAGAATGAAATTAGCCTAAATAGAAGGACATTGAGGCACCCTAGCCAGACAGAATAAAAAATGTATCCTAACTTTATAATATGGCGATGGTAGTCCATATTGTTCCAACAGTTGCTAGTGTGTTTACAATGCTATAAGTTTCCGTAAGGAGCACTAGCAGTTCCTTTGATTAAGTCAAGATTGGCAGTTGTTCCTGACTTACCAACATATCAGACGGGAATTTAATTTCATTTAGGCCTGATGGCAGAGAAGGAAACGGCCGAATAGAGCGCGCCACTACGACATTGCGCGCCATTGTGACACCGCGTGTTTACCATGCGACGCTCGTAATTGGATCGCGAGTTCATTCTCCGATTTGTTTTATGCCATTCGAATAAACTTCCCGTCTGGCAGGGTATTACACCTCTCCCTCAGTGTTTACAACACCCATTACAAATATCAAGGTTACGGGAAGCGTACTTTGTGTTCAGGAGCCATTTTCGCGGATGGGCTCGTCCGTCGTTTGACTGATCTTGGTTTTGTCCAAGGCTGCAGTTTCCAGAATCAGACAGCGGATCTCCTGAATGAAACTAAGATGAAGACAGTTTGTTAAAACCGTGACTATTGACACATTCCGCCAATCTACAAGCGTTTATTTATATAGACCGACACGCGGGCTTGACGTCACGGAGCTGCGGCGGCGCTGCGGTCGCGCCGGAGCCGGGGGTGTGGGCAAAAGCGCGCACGTTTTGCATGGGCGTCATAGCATTTCAGCATGCCGCGAAGCTGTGTTGCCGTTAATTGCGCCAAAATGCACAAGAAAAGCAGCAGAGTGAGTTTCCACAAGTTCCCGGCACACCCTAAAAGGCATAGAAGGTGTATATTATCCGTGGATCGAAAAGTATGGTCGCCTCGCACGAACGACCGTTCGTGCGGCAAACACTTTCTTGAAGGCAAGTGCGACTTCCATTTCAATCTCCGTCCCGAGGCTTGCTTATGTGCAGGGAAACCGTCGTCTGATCGAGACCACCCGGATTTTGTTCCCATGGTGTTCGCGCACAAAGCACCGGCCAAGCGCTCGTCGGAGGTTCGTTACTCCCGTGCTAGAGCGGCGACAGAACGGCAGTGTTGTAGGCGTTACCGAAAAGGTAACGAAATACGTTACTCGTTACTTCCAAATAAAAGGTACGCGTTACTGAGCTACGTTACCTAAAAATAAAAGGAACGCGTTACCGCTACCGATGAAAAGTAACGCACGTTACTTCTGATTCTGCGTTACTTTTTTAAATTATGATTTAACACATTTTACGGTTTTGACGATACAGGTAATATATCAAGAAACATTATGTTCATGCAGAAACTGAACATAATTACATTATCTCTTTTTACGGTTTCACCTAAATACTTACGAGAAAAAACGCACAGAAAATCATGGCTTGACGCCTAAAACACGTAAAACATTTAAGTGTAATTTCTTTAAGACTTAGGAAGTAGTAACGAGTAACGTAACTACGTTACTTGAAATAGTAACACAAGTACGTTACCCGTTACTGTGTCGAAAACGTAACAAGTGGGTTACTACGTTACTGAAAAAGGTAACGCGTTACCAACAACGCCGTTACTTGTAACCTGTTACCGCAAATACTGCAGAACGGACAAAGCGTTACTGCATGTCATGCCTTGTGGTCATGAGGGCAGGGAAAATATCATACCTTGACTTGAAGACGCTGTGTGCATTTAATCAATTAATGAATACACACACTTCCGCGGACCGACAGGCTGCTGATCCCGCCGGCAGTGTGGAAACCAACTCGAAGTAATCGTAGACCTCGAGAGACGTGTACGCCTGCATCGTGTCGGCCGTGAACTGGCTTGGCGAAAAAACTAAATAAACGACGACGTGAGCCATCGACGTCGGTGGCAGCAACTTTACGTCGGAAGTCCAGCAGGTCTTGTTTATACGGCGTACGGATCCTCGTAGTCAACGCCGTCCACGCACAGTTTGTTTCGATACCGCTGCCGTTCAGGATCGGGTAGCGAACTCAAATAGTCGGGCATAGCATACGACATACGTTGTGAGGAAATACGACGCACAAATAAAGATACAAGCGTCCCTACAACGTCTACAACGAGCGCACGCCATAGAGCGCAATGGCGAAAACACAGAGAGCCGGGCTGCTTTTGCCCACATAGCTACCGCGCTTGCGCGGCCTTCCGGCCGTGTTGGTAAACAGAGCCGCTCCGCGTCTCGGTCTATAGATGACAACCTGTTTTATTATGGGTGTTATTAAATTTTATTACCTGGGATAAAGCTATAAAAATGAGTACTAGTCAATATTTAAATCAGTTTGTAATAAATGACGACGACTAAATTGTTGTCTAAAGGAAATTTTACTATGCAACTTAAACTGTAGCTAATAAAATTATTTGTGATTTAATTTTACATTACTCTCTTCGTTCATTTTCTTGAAATAATCTTCACAAGAAATGCGACTAATTGTTTACGTAAAAAAATAAACAACATACCTGAGTCTCGGGATACCCTAGATCTCCTTTGACGTCGTAGCCAGAGCTCAAACATCTTCGTATTTATTAAAACCGTAATCTCCTCACCTATATCAATGGAAAATGAGAAAATGAAGCGTTACCAACAAAAACTGTGAAAATACATTTGGTCTGCGCCACAGTTGTTGTAATATTAAACTCTGCATGCAAAAGGAGATACCGAGTGTCAATGTGCTCCGAGCCTAATAAAGTAATACGGAAATGAATCAAGTATTATTATAATGCAATTAAATGCAAAGGTGCAAGGGAGCTGGACAAGAATACCGGAAATAATCCCTGGAGAAGGGGAGCAAGAGGGACAAAGGACAAACACAAATATTCAAACACAGCAATGGCTTACATTTATGATGGCAATTCAGTTATTAATAAGTTGTGATATAGTCTGATATCAAATGTGACAAATTATCTTAATTGGTAATATATGACCAATGCTCAATAAAATACTTCAATGTAAGATAGCACTAAGTTATTGCATGGTCCTACCTGTACGTCTTCATGGAGTATTTTTTCTTGCCACCCTGGCGATCAGGGTGACAGGACTCCTCGACGATGTGGGATTGTCGTCCCACATGCTCGTTCCAGTCCAGAACTGCCAGACTTTCTCTTAGGTTGTACGAGTTATCAAAGTAGGGAATCCTTTTGTCCAAGTATATTAGCATGGCGTTGTTGAATGATTCAACATAGTATGTGTCCTTTGCTTGAATGTAGTCTTCGGCATTCTTCAGAATTGTCGTCGACCTCAAGAAAGAGGACAAAAGCTTCTCCGTAACAGGATCCTTCATCACCAGCGCGCTGGGAACCTGTCCTGTTGTCTTGCAGGGAGAGTCGTCCACGCAGTTTCGCCCACAAAAGTGGTCCATGGAGTTCAACAGCGTCGTCTTCAATTTCGTTGCGCTGCCTCCACATTTCGCCATCGCGAAGTAGGCATGGTTTCTGACTAATTTACACTTGTCAGAAAGCTCAACGTTCCACGTCCTCCCTTCGTATTTTTTCGGGACCGAACGCGATTGTTTTCATGCCTTTCAAAGTTCCTTTGGCGGCGTGCCATCTGTCGTTGGAGTTTGTTGTTCCGTTTTGCTCCCGTGTTAGTTTGTTAACCGTTTTGTTGCGGTTGTGCGAATGATCATTCACGGTGATACTCCTTTCTCTGAAATATTCGTACATTTGTCTAGTACTAAGACCTTCGTGCTTTTGCGACGAAGGCTCTTCCTTCTTCGTCACGTGAACAATTCATACTACCTTGTGGTGCTCCTGCCCCAAGGCAACGACGTCAGTATAAAATGAGTTTTTTCGGAAGGCGTGCTAGGCATCAGTTTCAATGCTCAGTGATGTCAGGGAGGAATCGCGCTGCTCTGTTGCCCTGGCTTCCTCTTGTTGCGCTGCTGCTAGGGAATTCATTTTCAAAATCTCGACTGCCGCTCCAACGTGTGTGGTAAGCTTTTCCAGCGAGCGGCGAGAATACGGAATTGCAACAGAGTTACAAAACTTCTCAAATTGAGTTCCGAGAATGCCGCTGGGCACACAAATGCGACTGCAATAAAGCAGTCAACGACGCGGATCTCTCCAACACTTATGCTCGTGTCAAAAACTAGAGTGTGCTTTAGACATTTGCACTCCACACGAGCTGCGAATCCCCAAAGAGTCACGTTCACAACGCCGAGATGTTCTGGACATCTCCAAGTATGGTCTCGGACAGCATTTATGATCCTGCAGAGGGCTGCCTTGTCACACAGTACGAGGGATGCGTCTTCACTAGCTTTCTCTTCAATTACTAATGCTGCCTTATTAGTTCGCTGGTCCTCCTCTTGGACTAACATCCGCACTGCTCGTGCGATAATAGACGCCAATGGGTCGCCCCTTGTAAACGCACTTAAACTTTTTTAGCAAGTCATCCAAGTCGCTCATTTCTTCTTCGTTGGAGGAAGTTAAATTCAGTGCTCGACGGAAGCTTTTTCTAGAGCAAATGTATTCTTTTCCAGTTCCGTCACTCAAACGTTTCTTTTATTTTTTTTTTTTTTGTATGAACTGGGAGTTGGCCGATTCTTCATCCACCTCGGCCAAACCGTTGGTCAGAAAGAAAGCTGTTAAAAAAAGGAAAGAAATACATGTTTCGATTAAACTTCTTTTTTTAATTATATGTTGTAAGCATTATTACCGTGTTTTTATTTTTTTTTTAAAGTCTAAGAAATGCACAGAAACTATGAGACGCAAAGAATGCAGTTGTATAATAAATAATTGACGTCACACATACCTTGCGTGGTTGATGAGAGGCATCTTTTTTTCTTTCCTTTTTTTTCACCGCATTTATCAGATGATGTTTCTAATAATCAAAAGGGCAAAATACTGGTTTAAAAAAAAAGTTTACCGAGGTTGTGGGGCACACGAAGTTTCCACCGAACTAGCAGGTTGTGCTTTGCGAGCTATCGCCGAAATTCGGGTACCATATACTAAGTATCAGTGCGTGGTGCATGACAGCTTTCAAACTGCTTTAGGGCACCAGCATTGTGAGCTGAAGAGATGAGACAAAGCAGATCGGCTGCCCACCTCCACCCTTTTCTCGTTTAGCGGCACGAAGAGTCAGCCCAAGAGGGGTCCCTGCTCTTCAGACTAAGCCGGATAAAGAAGCCGCCCTAATATCCCCTTCGCTGAGTAATAGCTAACCGCTCGGGGGAGGAGGTAAATGGAGGAGAGAAGGGCGGGAGAGGAGGTTGGACGAGAAAGTGGAAAGCGCGAACTGTACAGCGGCCTTTAAGAACTATCACGAGATGCGTTCAAGGTAGCAGGCATCCATTAAGGCCCGTTCACACTCTTGCGACCGAGTACGACTGAGAGAGGCGAGATCTCTTACAACTTCTTAAATGTTTCTAGAATGAGGGAACACACTGACATTGTGGCGCCATCTATGCGGTGACCCTAGAACTGCATTTCACAAAAGCGAAGGTTTTGCGGGATTTCCGAGGTCAAATGTGCGTAATACCCATAGAAAGGCTCGTTTATAACATTGACAAAAGCTTTTCGAGCCAAAAAAAGAAAGGATATTGCGCGAGAAATAAAAAAAAAATATGCCGGACCGCCGAGTTTACACTGCTTCCCAATAGATGGTGCCAGTGTGTTTTCTGGTTTAAGAAGTTTTAAGGAACCCAGGTTTAAGAGGTCGCAAGCAGTCGCAAGAGTGTGAACGGGCCTTTACCCTCGACGAAGTCACCCTACAACGTTGCCGCAGGACGAAAGAAATATATGCAATCAACTTCAAATAATGCAAACTTGAGCCATATCTAACTCGCCTACTAAATAATCAGACTTTTAAAAAAACCTGATCACACGCAAAAAAAAAAAAAAAAAAAAAAAGCCACGACAAGAATATAATTGCTAGTCTCTCTGCCGGCAATAACTAATTGACCTTACTCCGTAATATACAGGGTCCGATCGAGAAAAGTAAACCCTATTTTTCGGCCCGCGTAAAAAGACCACGCATCGCAGAACGCTCAAACTCCGCCAGAATGTAACCCTAGCGGTCCAAGCAAGGTGCCAAAGTTTCAGCCCGATCCGATAACTTAATCAAATGTTATAATAGATTTTCTGAAAATTTCAATGGGAAAATGGAGCCCATTTTTGCCCGTTTTCGGTTTCTGGTGTCATAGAGCCCCATGTGTTCGAAAACTCCGTCGGCGGCCATTTTCCCATTTGAAGCACGACAAAGCAGATGAGCGGCAATGCAAGGAGAGTTGATCTGGTGTCGGTTGTAGTCCAAGGACAATACCTAATAATTTGCTAACACTAATTATCTGTGTCCACGCCACGAAGCACAGAATTTCCAACTTTGATGGAGGATGCCGCTCAGTGACCTTAAAGGGACACTGACACCCCCCAAAAAAAAATTTTTATTTTTTGCCAGGCGCTTCATCATGGTGTCGGAGGACTACCCAATTAATATTTTGCAACAGAGTAGCGTATTTCTTTAATAAAGCCAAAAGACGCAACTGCTCGAAACCGAAACCGAAACCCGACGGAGGTCGGAGAAGTGGAGAGAAGAGAGCGACTGGCGGAAGTCACGTGGCTACACCCGACCGTGCGTTTTTTTTTTTCTTTTTTTTTTCTCCTCTCCGGTAGCAGACGACACGACATGCGGCCTGCGATGCGGCGTGCGGGAACTGCTTGCCGTGCGATTCTTTTGCAGTTATGTTTGTTCCGCTCGTTGTTCTGTACTCCAAGATGAGTTGTTTTGTACATTGAGGAGTTGGAGATGAGTAGTGAGTGCTGGTGGTGAATTTCCATGATCGGCTCCGAAAAGAATAAACCCAAGATGTTGCGTGAAGAGCTGGCTCACATGTCTTGCATCCGAAAAAAAGTGGCATTGTGCGACAGAGTTTCCGACAGATCAACGGTATCGGGACCAATGGCTGGCTGCAATTCCTGTAGAACATTTACGGGCACCTCGGAAAGCGGACGCTACCTGATTTATATGCTCCTTGCATTTTGTGGAAAGTGATTACATTGAGTTCGGAGGTGTCAAAACGGAAATCCCATACCGTTTAATTCAGCGAAGTATCGTCCGCAACATTTGTTTGTTATTTTTTTGTTCGTTTCTTCATAGATGATTGTAAAAAAAAAAGAAAAAGATATGTAAACATCGGAAAATGTCTGAAAAAAAAAAAAACAATTAACGGGGGATCGAACCCGGCCCTACCGCGTGTGAAGCGGACGTCTTTCCCACTGAGCTACTGGGGCAACCCTTTTCTGGTGGATCTCTTTCCTTAGTAATAATTCAGCCGGTGAACTGTAAGTTTTAAAGTTTGCTGTCGATTTTTCTCTAGCGAAAGCACTCCCGGGTCGAAGTCGGGAAGCACCACGCTTTGGGGACATTCGCACCTAGTAAAGAAATCGTACGCGTACATATTCAACTCGAAGTAGACACGTCGTGCTTGACGTCTGCGCGAGCGTTGTCTTCAGCCACGAGAAGGGAGCGACGGCTCGGCGACGTCTTCGTGCAAATCGGCTTGGTGGCCGGGCGTGTCGTGCGGGATGAATACCAATTCTTTTGATCAGTCCCAAATTTCTCTTTTAACGGTAGACAGAATTCGCCGGTACCGCGAACGACAGTTCTGAAATAGAGGTCCCACGCCCGTCGTCCGCTACCATCGCCGTCCCCGCGAGTCCCACGATACGCGAAACGACGAACGCACAGAATGCTTCCGGTTGTCTGTGGAACTTTTTTTTTTTTTTCAATCAACGTATTTACAGCTTTTTAGAAGCCACAAAAAATGGGTTTCATGTTTTTTTCTATTTTTAATATTGAGTGTGTGCCTTCAGTGACCCACGACTTTAATTAAATTTGGTGGTCGCATCGATACCTTAGAAAACGGCCCGTGACCGCGAAAAAGAGAGTGAGCGAGACTCGAACCGGCCAATTCTTGATCGGCGGTTTTCGGGCGGAAAGAAACCGAATTTCGAGCCGCAAATTCTGTTCTGGGTAGTTGAGCTCTCATATGTCACGTACAACTAAAAACCTCAGCGAGCATAAATACCCTGTCAGTGTCCCTTTAAAAAATAGAATGGTTGGTTCCTCTCAAAAGTGGACTGCAAGCATCACGAGACTTCACTTTGCCACACAAGACTTGCACAAGTTGCAGTGGTCATGGGATGCAGAATAAATCTTCATTTCGAAATGGAAGTGAAATAGCTTGGAGAGCAAACAAACATTGTTGCCAGCTATCAAGTCAACAGTACAGCAAAAGGCACAGCCACATAACCAATACATGCCCGAGCTTGTTGCATTGATGCAGAAAACTACCAGGAAAACTTTGCGGATTAGGAGCCAGCCCTGCAGCTTCAGTGCATCAGATGTCACTGGGCGCACAAACGTATGATTACAAGGCGGCATCAGACGGTCAAAGTTGCTACTCGACCAAACTGA